GGCCATAATCTCGACCATCGATTTATGCCAAAGTTGAAACGAATAGCTGACAGCTAACTTGGCACTTGTGAGTTAATAGTAATACCTTATAGCCAAACGCGTATTAGTTTGTCCATATCACTGCTAATAATTAAGAAATGTCTAATTTAAACCGTAAATTTGGTTACATCTGGCGACAACGCTAAATTTATAGCCAACAAATAACACCGAGTTCGGTTCGGTGACGTCACATGTTTTGCTATAGGATGTTCGAGCTGTCGAATTGTTTGCCCCGGGTAAATGTTGCCTTAGTGTATTCATTTGCCTAGTATGCACATTTATCTTTTTGATGTGCTTGTAATCTCGGAGAACTTCGTATATTATTATATTCGCCAGTAAATCCCAAGAGTAAACCATAAGTACGGAATGCGCACTCAGACTTACAAGGATCGAAATCACTGGACGGTGACCGACCGCATACGTGTGCGAAAATGTCCTGCAACGTATTAATCTGGTATTCGTTGACACCGCCTCGCGGTTTCCTGTTAGCGTGTCCGGTTACGGCCGCGCATGGCGTATTGTAAACTGTCAACAACCGATTTCTTGAGACCTGACGGATTTCAATTGGACATTTCTTATAACCAGCAGTGTATGCGAACAAGACTAATACGCGTTGGCTATAAAGCGTAAATGTACTTATTACTACACAAGGTGCCAGTTAGCTGCTTAGCATTTCGTCAAACTTTGCATATCGATGGTCGAATATCTTATAAATACCTCTTGCCTTTACGGAGAATATAGCTTGAACGTCACAACATGTTCATAGTGTTTAACTAAGGTGGCGCTCAGACTTGCCCGAGACTTCCGAACTAGCTTCCACAAACAGTGGATAGCCGTGAGCGAATGTCTTGTCTGCTGACAAGATGCCACCTGTTGGCGGCACGGAGTAGATTAATCATATTCTGAACATTATATAATATAAGATAAATATAGTATAGTGTGTGATATATAATATGAGTGTGTATATATGCTGTGTATATATACTATACGTGTATCATAATATATATAGGATAACTATATATAGTGATGTATGATATAATATAGAAATATATATACGAAGTCTATATTATCTTACTCCTGCCGCCCAACAGGTGGATGTTCTTGTCAACAGCACAGACCCATTCCTCCAGCCTAGCACTGTTCGGAAGCTACGTTCGGAAGTCTGGAGCTCAATCTGACAGCCAGCTAGTTAAACACTTATGACCATGGTGTGCGTGTCAAAGCTATATCTCCGTAACAGACAAGAGGGTATTTTAACAAAAGTAAAGTTTTAGTTAGAGACGGATGTCCAACGCTCATTAGAATGTATTTTTATCGAAGTTGCACGTAATAATATCACGCGTAAAATTAGGCAAGCAAATGTTGAATTTCACATGTTTTGGACAGTCATATCCTCTATATTATCTTACTCCTGCCCGTAGTAGTAGTAGTAGTATTATAGAATTTCGTATTTATTTTAGCATTAATACTAATAGTAATAATACAATTATTTTATCTGAAACGTTTCTAATGCACTGCTATACAGCCAGTGCTCGACATAAGGTGTCGGTTGTCGAGACAACCAGAATTTGCGCCGGACATTAACAGTCTGAGACATGTCGGTGACAACCAAGAACCCCTCATCCCTAACCGTAACACTAACTACGTAAACCGATCTTTCGGCTATCTATATATATTACGCTGGGTACCCAATTTAATCTATGTGTATTAACCTTTTGCTTTCAATATTCTTGCATCTTGAATGACAATCAATCCCAAACCAACTGGTGTAGGCTAGCTGGCACAATACATGTTCAGTTTCCATACTTCAAATCGAGTGTTTTGCTAGCATCATCAAGAAATCGTAATCAGTGAATTAAAGGTAATCGACCATCGATTATGCAATTTTAACGAATGCCTACAGTTAACTGGCACCTTGTGTATGTTAAATAAGTTACGATTACCTAGTAGCCAACGCGTATTGTCTTGTCCAATATCACTGCTGTTACTAAGGAAATTGCTAATTGAAATCCGCAGTCCAAGAATCGCGTTGTGACATTACAAACCGGTAATCGCGGCCGTACGGTCGTAACTGGCACGGCGGTGTCATACAGTTATAGTGCACCGGACACTTTTGCCACGTAGATGCTCGCCGTCAGGATTTCGATCCTTGTAGTCTGAAGTGCCGATTCCGATTACGTTATGGTTTTACTCTTGGGATTCGGAATAAATGATTACGTTTTGAGCTTAGCAAGCAACTATAATAAGTGGCCTAGGGCAAATAGATAACACTAGCAAACAATTTACCCCCGCAGCCACCACACATTCGCATGCTCAACATCCTTGCTAGAAACATGTGACGTCACCGAACCGAACTCGATGTTTATTTTGTTGGCATAAGTTTCGCGTTGTCGCCAGATTTACCAAATTTACGGATTTCAATTAGGACATTTCTTAGTACTGAGCAGTTATTGGACAAAACTAATACGCGCTTTGGCTATATGGTAATTACTTATTAGACATACACAGGTTGCAGTTACTGTAGCATTCGTCAACTTTGGCATAATCGATGGTCGATTATGCCTTTTAAATCCGGTGAATATATAAAATATGGGACCAGCTGCTACTTCCAACACTCGGTTATGTCGGTTTTCTGCTTTATGAGAGGTTGAACTACGAATTTGGACCAGCAAACCAGCAAATTTCATACATTTCCTGGGGGAGGACCCCATCACCCCCCCTATCCCTGTTTCACCCCTCCCCTCCTTGGAAATCCTAGCCAACACTTGAACAATTAATTATCTTGGGAGCAGAGAAGACGAATGGAACAAAAATGTCGCCTTTATTCGCATGGATTGCAGAGGCTGAGAGGTAGAGGAGCGGAGCCGTAGGGGTGTGGAGAAGGAGGCGAGGAGCCAGTAAAAATATTAAGTCATCCGGCTTGTTGTTTTGGCGCCTAAGTTTTTTGGGAATGAATTTGTCGACGGTTGATATAAAAGTTGTCCTAAAAACATCCCAAGCCTTACTGGCTGTTAGATCCTGAAGTAGCCTGTGCCAAGGTATGTTCCCTAGGTGATCGCGTAGTTTGTTAAAGTCCGCTTTCCGGAAGTCTGGGACATATTCTTTGCTGATCTTAACATCTACATAAGTATTTAGATTAAAAAGCACAGCATCATGGTCACTTTTACCAAATTTGCCAATGTTCTCGAGTTGGTCCACCATTCCTTGTTCGGTTGTGATCACTAAGTCAAGAATATTCTCACCTCTAGTTGGAAAGTCTACGTGCTGGAATAAATACTGATCCTGCACACAATCTAGGAAATCGACGCAGTCACGATCAGCGTAAAGCAAATCCCAATCTATGTCCGGGTAGTTAAAGTCACCAAATGGCATAAACTGCTGTCCATCGACTGAACAAATGATTTCCAGTAACTGTGCACTATTTTCTGCCGTGGTGTTTGGTGATCTGTAAATTAAACCAATCAAGATGTTACCTGTAGGAGTTTGTATGTGGAACCAAACTGAGTTTGTGTAACCGTCTGCAGATGGCGGGAAGTATTCCGATGCAATCAACGTGTCTTTTACATAGAGTAATACTCCTCCACCCCTACCCTTGGCCGTGTCCGTCCTGTCCTGTCTTGCTAATTTATAGCCAGGCAAGGAGATCTCAGCGTCTGATATATTGCTATGAGTCCACGACTCTGTAACCCCAAAAATGTCCGGGTCATGTGCAAGTGCTTCAGCTTTAATTAAATCAAGTTTGTTCATAATACTCTGTACATTTGCAAAACAGCACTTTAGATGATTAATACGAACTGATGAACTTGTAGAACATACGTTAGTGTGAACAATTTTAGTAGCAACATTCGGAGTCGGTTGTGCAGGTGCAACCTGTTACGACAACGACCCTTCGTGCACCAGTACCAGTACTCAGTACTCAGGACAGTAGGGCCTATTAGTATCACAGGCACTTGAAGCGTTTCAATAAAATATAATGCTAACTAAATACGAAATCTATTTACTACCAAATTCTTAATGTTTCTATACTCTTTCACCTATTATTGCCGACAGTTTCCTGTAAATTCCGTCCAAATCCTACGTCCAACCATACGCTGCCAGCACCATTGCTTTCGCGGCGCGACTGTTGCACGCTTACACTAATATATATAGCAGGTAGGAAAGCCGGATCGCAAAATTCGCTCGACGCTCGCTGGATTTCACACTTTCACAGCACCAATACACATCCAACAGCTTCCATCTTTGTTTCTCTTTCAACAACAGTGTTCACTTGTTATAAAAACATAATGTCTCTGTTCGTAACTGAGCTGGGTCACGCGAAATCACACAAAGACTGACGAAATTCTTGCGTTCGCGAACCTTCCACAGTAATGTAAATGTCTGTCAGAATACAGGGCTATATCGACTGTGACTCGCTCCCACCTCGATTACCCATCGAGTGACTAAGCTAAGCCGAGAGGTGGGAGCGAGTGCCAGTCTATGGACTATAGGCGGCGCGCAGGCGGCGCACTGCTTTTCAACTCCCGTACGAGCCTCGCCATTGGAACGTTGGAAAAACCGTTGCAGCGTTGCGGCGCAAGAATGAGGTCACGAATAGCGCCGGTAGGTGTTTCCTGATTCTGACAGCCATTTACATTACTGTGGAAGGTTCTCGAACGCGAGAATTTCGTCAGTCTTTGTGTGATTTCGCGTGACAGCTCGGTTACGAACAGAGACATTATGTTTTTATAACAAGTGAACACTGTTGTTAAAAGAGAAACAAAGATGGCAGCTGTTGGATGTGTATTGGTGCTGTGAAAGTGTGAAATCCAGCGAGCGTCGAGCAAATTTTGCGATCCGGCTTTTCGAATGAACCGATAGGAACCGGTTCGAAATGAACCAATAGTGTCGTAGGGAGAGGACGTGTTTTCGCGGCGCTCCGATTTAACACTACAGTGTGCTCTTCTCTAGCTGGAAGTTGTATAGATACTAGTAGTAGTACTACTAACATAACTTAATTACGTTATTTACCGTGAATTTCTAAAATTTCTGTTACTTATGCGCGAGTTTACGTTATTTCAGGCGATGCTATAACTAACTAGCTGCAACAGCATAACATTGGAAACAAGAGTGTATCCATTAGTCAAGCAACAACAAACAATTTTTCCCACCTGAATTTACACTAAACATTTAAGATACTTGGCAAAAGCCTAAGGTAACACTAATTATTTAGTATATGCACTGTGTCTATTCTTTACCTCTAACACAGGCCAACTTAGTCTCATTTGCTGTGTTACCCGGGGCGGCCTGTTGGGAACGAAGAAAGGCAGGCAGCCAGCTAGCTATAGTTCCTACACAGTTCCTAACAGTAACACTAGTCACCACAGGAACAGGAACAGTATAGACAGTTTACTATAGTAAGGAGACTAACTATGTGTTGTGGCGTCTATTTGCACCAATAAGAAAAAAAAAAGAAAAACGTAAATACGTAATAATATTAATGTAATCATAAAGTGGCGCATTATTGTGTTGTTTTGTCGGTAAACATTACCAGCTATAGATGTCTGCTACTAGGACTACGAGTAAAAGGTTACTGAGAGGATCAGCAAGTAGTAGCAATATAAATATGAAAGATAATACGGGGGGTAGCTTGACAGGTAGCGAAAAGCAAGGTGGTGGCACCGATGCAGTAGAAACATGTGGATCGTGTGGAAAAGTAGTGAAGGACTCTGATAGGTCGCTGGAATGCGAGATTTGTAAATTCTGGCACCACATTGAGTGTGAGGAAGTACCAGTTGAAACATATAAGGTAATTGAGAAGGATCTGGGAGGCATACACTGGTATTGTAGAAAGTGCAACGTAAGTGTTGCGAAAATGCTCACCTCCATATCATGCCTTGATCAGAGGCAATCTGTGACAGAGGCCAAAGTGAATGCATTGGACACAAGGATGACTGATGTAGAACAGAGTGTAGTCCAAACTAGCAACAGTTTGGAAAAAATGCATGACACTTTTGATAGTGTTCTAGACCTCAAAATGGACGAGACACTAAAGGAAATCCAAGATAGGGACCGCAGGAAGTGCAATGTTATTGTCTTCGGTGTCGATGAAAGTACCAGCGAGGATGGTAAGGTAAGACTGGATCATGACTGTTCGGCTATAAAAGAACTAGCAAAGACTATTGATGTGGAGAACGTCGAAATCGATAGGACTTACAGACTCGGCAAGATTCAGTCGGAAAACAAGGGGATTTTAGCCAGACCGATGAAAGTTGTCTTGAAACAAAGAGTGTACGAAGTCAGTTACTTCGACAAGCAAATGCACTAAAGGACAAAGAGGACAAATGGAAGAATTGCTACGTGAAACCGGACTTGACTCCCAAAGAGAGGGAGAGGACAAGAGTCTTAGTAGTAGAGATAGAAGAAAGAAGAGGCAAAGGGGAGCAGGATCTGGTATTAAGGTTCGGACAGATTGTCAAGCTAAAGAAGGAACGTGGGAAACCAGGCCTGAGACAATACTAGGGGGAGATAGAGGGGATATTGTTGTAAATAGTGGTACAGGAGCACCTATTTCTATTTCAAATACACAAAGCATTGTAAATAAGTTAGATGAATTTGAAGCCCTAATAGACGAATTGAAACCAGACATTATTGGTATTACAGAGACGTGGGCAAATGAGAACACTCCAGACAGTTTGTTCACCCTAAGAGGGTATGATCTTTTCAGAAAAGATCGGGTAGGAGCACAGGGAGGAGGAGTACTATTACTGGTCCAAAACAATCTCCAAGCATCGACCTGCCCAAGACTAGAGGTTAGCGAGTTTGCTGAATCAGTATGGTGTGAAATACAACTAACTGGAGAGGATGTTTTACTCATAGGAGTGTGTTATCGATCACCAGCTAGTACACAGGAGAACAATGAGGAGTTGATTGATCTATTCTCTAAGGTAGCAATTGGACAGGAGACTCATGTTCTGATTATGGGTGACTTCAATATACCTGAGGTTGATTATGTGAACTATTGCACCAGTTGCAGCCCAATGTCATTCCACAGTAGGTTCCTCGACAAGACACAGGACATGTTTCTATTGCAACATGTGACGGTACCGACAAGATATAGAGAAGGTCAAGAACCGTCTAAGCTTGATCTGATCTTCACAAATGATGAGAATATGATTGAGGAAGTGAGTTGTTTGGCACCCATCGGGAAGAGCGATCACATTGGACTAGCATGGACGACCGTAACACACCTAGACCCAAACAGCCTGAAACACAAGTACGAAGGCCGAAACTACTGGAAAGGAGATTATATATCTTTAAACACAGAAATCAAAGCCACTGATTGGAAGACAGTATTGGGAGGTTTGGACACCAACAGTGCTTGGCAGGAGTTGGAGCAAAGAATTGAAGACCTTAGTAAGAGGAATGTACCAGAGAAGAGACCACCAAAGAAGAACCAGAGACCAAGATGGCTGACCAAGCCTGTTCGAAAAGCAATACAGAAGAAGAGGGAATTTTATTTAAAGTACTGTAGACTAGGCAGAGAAAAAGATTATGCCAATTATGTTAAACAGAGAAACATCACTTCCAACTTGTGTAACGATGCCAAGAAAAATTATGAGCGAGGTCTTGTTGATGTATTCAAAAGCGAGTAAACCTTGTAGTTGTAGCTAACAAAGCACTGTAACAAAACTTACCAATACCTAACCAATACTATTACTAGGCTATCGATAGGATGGATCTTACCGACTTTCGACTACTATAACTAATGCTAATTGTAACTATGTGATTTATTGAATTCTGCAGACAGACCCATGATCTAGTTAAAGGTGCCGAGAAACACGCAACGATGTCAAAACGTAGTGCAGACGACTATCTTAATGATGACAGCATTCCCAGTGCAGTAACGAAGCCTAAGCAGCCACGACGCTTCAAAGAAAAGCACTCGCTAGACAGCGACGAAGAAGATGTTCCAGATGACTACAAGGTGATGGACAAAGAGGATATTGAAGGTGATATGGACTTGAAATTGAATTCTTATAATGCTGGTACAGAATAATCAACAGAGGTTTGCTTGTACAGGGTATTTCTAGTATAGATTCTCTCTCTGAAATCTCGTCTTCTAGGAAAACATTGTTGAAATCTTGGAATTGACTGCCTATCTGCAGGCCGAGGTTGTTTATTCTGTCAGTGTCACAGGTGAAGAAGATGCGACAATCGAGGATGATGAGGGGATTAAGATCACACCTTTCAATATGAAGGAGGAGATGGAGGAGGGTCACTTTGATACAGGTGGCTACTACCACTGGAAAAAAGATGACAATGATATCCGGTACAAATACATTTACCTACCTATAGGCGATAAAATTAGGAACAACAAATATGAAACACAATTTAGGACATTCATCCTGCCATGTTAGCCAACTAGCTTGGAATAAAGGTATTCCCACGTAATTTTTGTGTCTGCCGTACATGTATGGAGAAGAATATATGCAAATTGAACCATAATGCCTCTATGACTCTATGTGTATTTTAAGCTTGGCAGCGTGATTTAAGTCGAAAGGCACCTTTAATATTAAAATTGTACTTTTTAGGGATGGTTGGGTGGAAAACATAGACTGGGTAAAGGTGAGGCGTGAGCAACGCAAACCTACCAAGGCAGGCGGCGATGATAAGGTGGTTTGTTCTTCTAATGGATGTGTTACACATCAACTTATTTATTAATGTAAAGTCTTGTCAAAGTAAAATATATGATAGCAGCTATTTTAGAAGCATAGATCAACCCGAAAGAATCGAATGAAAGAATTAATTTGGTTGATGGTGGAACAGTGATGGTTGCTCATGGAGTAAGTTCTTCAAATTTCATCATAATATAATGGTAATTTGAGTTCACGTGATATGTATAATATGATGTGATACGTGAAGGATAAATTCATATGAGTAACCCCTTTGTAATAGTTTCGACAACTGCTGTTAAGTGGTGAATTACCTAGATTTTCACCAAATTTAAATTCCATGTATATTACTGGTTGCTATGACAGTATTCATTGACTGGTGATGGCATTGTGTCGGCACACAGGATGACAGTGACAGTTCAGACGACGTCCGCCCGCTAGACTCAAACAAGCAGGTGCAGAACTACAACGAGATGCTGAAGGTGATGCTGCCAGGAGAGAGTGTGAACAAGGCGCTGCGGCGGCTGGGAGGCGGCGCCAAGAACCGCGGCAATGCCAGCGCGAGGTGGTGCAAGCAGAAGAAGGGCGATGCGGAGAAGGAGGCGGCGGCGGCATCTGACGTTGACAGAGAGAACCTGGAGAAGCTGACGGGCCTCGCTGATCGCCTGCTGGTGTGGGGCGAATACAACATCTACCAGGTATGTGAAACCACGTACAGTGCCGATGACTACCGTGAATCGAAACTAGTTATTAATTCTTAGCCGCATAGGTGAATGCCACCGTGTGATAAACTAGTCGAACCTTCGTGCAGCAGTGCAGTGGATCTGCATCCTGTAGAGATGATGCTGGCCTCTGCTTCACACGTGTCTACCAGATATGAGCTTCAGTATCAATGTGGTGAGAAGGGCATTCACATTGACGACGTGTTCCTATTCTTAATGAGGATGCAGACATTTTCTTTCAATTCCTACCCGTTGGAAGAGGAAGATATCTTGATATTCATGAAGCTAGTAAATCGAAATTGCAGGTAGTGAAACCGGTGTCTTCTGGTTAACCCAAGTATGAGTGTAAGTGGCATTTGTTTGAGAGATCATACGTGGCATATTCATTGTGGAGAAACCCACACTATCAGTGAGACCTGCTGCACACATGTATATAGGTCCTAGCGATATTCTGTTTCAGGCAACCTACGAGAAACTACACTACAACGTTCAGAAGAATGATAGAAAATTTGACGACAAAACCGATGACGACATACTAGACATGTTCGGAGAAGACGTTGATGGCAACGAGAAATTGTGTGAGGGAGGCAGGGAACAACGAGAGAAAGCCGGCACGTCAAATTCTGCTGGGAATGTGCAACCACAGGCCAGTGTTACAAGAGGGGAAGCGAGTGAACCAGACCCTGATGGTATGTTCGGAGAGATGCTGGGAGGTGGCACTTGTGTTAATAAGCCAGTTTCGTGTTATGCCTGTTTAACTAAACTGATAATTCCATCTACTGGCCACTTGTAGTGATAGCAGTTATGTTGCTAGAATAAGTAAGAATACTTGATGTTTGGGGCGAATCTCATACCTGTTCATGGCATACTTGCAATCATGTTCCGAGAATAATTTCTCTATCGCTGGACAGCTGTAATATATTTATTCTGCATTAATGTGTAAATTGCAGGGCCAGTCGATCCATCCATCACAGATGAGGTGTGCTGGGAGTTTAAATGGGAGGAGAGCGATGACGCCACCATATATGGTCCACACTCAAGTTCACAAATGCTTCGGTGGACGCAGAGTGATTACTTTCCGAATGGCTGCTTTGTCAGAAAGCTGGGAAGCGAGGCGAAATTCCGTTCATCAAGTAGGATCGACTTTGAATTATACACTTAAAGGGGCAGCAGAGGGCAGCACTGGGCAGTCGTCAGACGTGAAGCAAACTATCTTGGCCAAGAAGTGTCTTAGTGTACACTTTAGCACCATGAGATCGTCATGCATCAGGTGCATTGACTGTAGGAAACATTTGCGTGCTTGACCCAGAGTAACTGGAATAGCAATGCTAGTCTCACCTGCCTTCAACCTTATCATGTAAAAAAGTAAAATGTATTAATATTAGAAATTTCACCTGTAAATAGTTGATGTGACACTCTGTAAAAGTGAATTTCAGATGCAAAACTTGATTGAGACTAGGAGACGATATGGAAAGTATTTTTAGCTCATCTGACATAGTCAGATGCAGCTTGTAGAATCGCATGAGCGTGCGTCCGTGCGTCCGTCTGGCCGTGCGTCCGTCAACAGTTGCAGACTGTCGGCACAAATTTAAACGGCTCGATGTACGGTCACGATATTTGGGACGTGGGGGGGTAATCCGAAAACGAGTTGGGATGTCGAAGCTGGGGGTCAAAAGTCAAAGGTCAAGAGGTGTAAAAGAAGGGGGACAATTCCTCCTTAACTTAAGGTATAGGGAGGAAATGCAGAATTGCGGCACAATCTAAACGGCTCGACCTAGCTCGTGATAGTCAGTGTGTATAGCATCATGTAAGGCAAAAGCCACTCACGTGTGCATTGGAGGCACGAGGTCAAAGGTCAATGGGGCACAGGCCAGATTTTAGACATTTTCTGAGGACATGGTCTGACGGGAAGCATTGAAAAACTTTTTTGTTTCAACGGTGACCTAGCTTTTTTATGGCTTTATTGAAAGGACCATGAAAATGTACTTTCTGCTGACATGCGAAGAGTAGTGTCGGATAACCTTTTGACCCTCAGAGGAGGGTTAAACATGGATTGTTGACTGTTAACAAAGGACTGAACTGTCGCTTTGCTATTGTGGATGTGAGGCTACAGTGCACAGTTCAATTGCAAAGGCAAATGTTGTTAAACAAGGTTTACGCTCCTTAAATCATATATTTTCTAAAGCAGTCTGTATTAGCACCCTGAGTAGCACCTCTGTATTCGCACACTGTAATGAACCCTGAATGCTCGCGATGGCGTAGGCAAAAACATGGGGGCAGCCCATAACGCATGCATGGGGGTTAATGGCACTATTCTAATCATAATTATTGCCTGGCAACCCTGCAATGCGATGTGTTAACTCACAGCTGAGCGAAATCTTGGCCTGCCTGAATATACTTGGATTCAGCAACTCAATGGAGTGAGGTTATCACGCACAAAGGGTGATGGCATCTTTGATTATTGATGACACTTGCACGCGCCATCTCGCGGCAACTGCTTTTGCTATTAGAGCCCCCTCCCCCCCCTTCCCCCACTCTCCCCCCACCACCACCACTACGCTCGCGCTTGACGCATATCCATGATAACATGTTAATATAGCGAAGTCATTAAAGTTACACAGCTGTATCTTTATTACTGTACTACCGGTATAGTAAAGCCTAGCTATCATAGATTTTAGATCTGTATTAGTAGTATCCTAGATATATGCTCTGAGCGCGAACGCGGTGATGGGAGGGTGCTCTTCATTCGTTTGCCAGTGAGTTTAGCATCAGAACACCTGCCGTCAGGTGAGCGCTGTTGCTCTGCGGCACTTGTTCATTACTACTGTGACAAGAGGAATCATTGGGTAATATTAGATGGAGTAGTGACAGTACAGAAGTATGAAGGTTACATATGCACTTCAGGGGTAGAAATTAACTTTTAAACACGGGAGTCCAACGGACTCCCTACCCTTAAAAAGAGGGAGTCAGTAGCAAAATGATCGAGTCCGCAGTCTGAAGTTCAAAATTAAAGATATTAACAATAACACATGCTTATTTTGAAGATTCATGTGGTTACACGTCTGCCCAATTTTCTTTGGACATTTGCTGGAAAAATACGGTAATTCCGCGAGGCCGTGCTCTGGAACGAACTAGTTAGTATAGTATGGCAGAATTTTCAGGGAGTCACACAAGTCTATATATACAAGACTGCATATGTCAAATAAGGGAGTCCGTCATTAAATCAAGGAGTATTTTACTCCGGACTCCCGTTAATTTCGCACCCTGCACTTTATGAAGATAGAAAATGCTATGAATTGATAGTATGTTCAGAGTAAAAGGAAGGCCAGGAATGAAACAACTCATTGTATTGCATCCCATGCAATCATTAAGCTAAAAGCATGCACTGTTTCATTTTTTTACGTGAAAATAAAACTTAAGTCCATTAAATGTAATTATTACATTTGAAATATGGACTTCTTTATTTTCTCTTTTATGTATAAAATGGTTGGTGTATCACAGTGGTTGAACGCAAGGGTTCTGGTGTGGCTTTGAAGGCAATGTTGCCTTCTGCATGCGTAGCGTCATGTACTACACGTACTCTGCACATAGATGTACGATTGATGTCATTGCCACTATCAACAATGCATCCACGAAAAGAATTACTCTCTTAGTACTATAGTCTAACTACATCGTTACTATCTGTCGAGTCTAGTCCTGGAGATAGGTAATATCAGGATAATATATGGGATATAAATTAATACAAGAGCCGCAGAGCGTCTGGGCTCATCTGAAGTCTGTTGCTACGGTTATAAACGTAACATTTAAGTCGTGCGTAGTGACACCTTTGTTAGGCGCAGATATGCAGATACGCAGTTGCGTACACATCATTTCAGCAACCTTCTGCATTCTGTATACCTCCCAAATCCCATTGGTTGATACAAATCGCGTGCCTGAAACTCCTGTTTTATGGTGCTTTGTGACCCTAACCCTAACCCTAATAAAAAATAAAAAATATTTAATTGTAAAAATTATTTGTTGTTATTAAATTGTTGTAAATAAATCATGTAAATATTTGCATTAATTGGAAAAAAATAGTTAAATGGATAAAGATAGACAAATACAGAAAACAGGTAAATAATAAAAAATCTGATGGGATTCGATCCAACGACCTTTGAGCCGTAATCCTGTGCTGTATCCGTTGGGCTATCCAGACATATTGGCTTTCTAGATTATGGATGTGCCATGAATATGAGAACAATGTGACATCATTGAGGCAGTTCAGGAATCTATGTTTAACCCTCCACTTGAGGGTCAAAAGGTTATCAAACACTTACTCTTCGCACGTCAGTGGAAAGCACATTTCATCGTCCTTTCAATAAAGTGATAAAAATGGTAGGTCAGCGCTGAAACAAAAAAGTTTGTCACTCTGTCCATTAGGCCATGTCCTCAGAAAATGTCTGATATCTGACCTTTCCCCCACTGCCCTTTGACCTGTGACCTCCAATTTCGCACTGGTGATGAGTTTCCTGCCCATCACACTATACACAGAATATTAAGAGCATAGGGAGAGCCGTTAAGATTTGTGCAGCAATTCCGTATTTCCTCCTATACCTTAAGTTAAGGGGAAAATATTCCCCCTCCGTTTACACATCTTGACCTTTGACCCTTGACCCCCAAATTTGTCATCCCGAGTCCTTTTCACGATCCCCCCCGACGTCCCGAATATCGTGACCGTACGTCGAGCGGTTAAGATTTGTGCCCAGCTGTTGACGCACGGACGGACGGACGGATGGACGGACAATCATGCGATTCTACAAGCTGCATCTGACTACGTCAGATGAGCTAATAACATTCAGAGACAGCATCCGGCCCTAATTGGTGATTTGCCAACCTTGTTTCGAATATGTAAATACGGTTCATTATCACATGTCAAAAATTAACAAATGATCTGATACTGTACACCTTTCAAACTACCTACACTTTCAAATGATGACTATGTTATACATGGAGTGACTATTATTAAAAATATTTCTATGAAATAAGCCACTGAATTTGGTTTTGTTTGAAGAATTTTAATACCAGCATTTGACTTGTTCATCGAGTGTTGGTAACGCAGTCCGCAAAATCACTTCGCCCTGCCCGTTCTTCACTGGTATTTGATAGGCTTAAATATATTAATATATACAATGTCACGCAATGAGAGAGTGTCTATGCTCTGACTACGTAAGCTGCGTTCACACGAAGATTTCAGTTCCGTACTTGAGCGTTCACACGCTAAAATATACGCGGCTTATTCAGTACCGTACTGAAATACGCGGCTTACTTGGCGCGGAATCACATTATATCACGCGTATATTCGGCACCACGCTGGCCGCGTAATGTGTGTCGTGTGAACGCATTCGAATTGCGAAACTGTAGCGCGCTTACCTAGACTGGTACCCGTTCGCTACACGACGTTAGTGTAGCGTGTGGAACTGTCGACCGGGTACCAGTCTATATCATACCTAGCCAGCTAAGCCTCGAATCTCGTGTATCTCGTGTGAACGCTCCGGGTTGTGTTAGCGCGGTATTTCAGCCAAACTCAGCACCAGCTAAGTACGGAACCAGCGAGGCCGTGTATCTCGTGTGAACGCAGCTACATAGCTCAACTATAAACATCGCTATAAGCGGTAACACAAACTAGCGAGACGGGGCGGGGACGCGTGTGCGCGGCTGCTAGTGCGTGTGGTGGCCACGGCGCGGCGCTGCGTGTCCCCGCCCAATAACCGCTACTTGTACGAGGGCACTGCGCCCGCCTTGCGTCCCGGCTTCTGCCACAACCCCAAGCTCTCACCAGCGACCCACAGCGTGATCTCACTGCCGTTCACGCGCGGGTCGGAGAGCTTCCTGAAGTTGGAGAAGGAGGTGTGCAGCGGCGGCATCTGCCAGTTTCCGCCGCCCGAGTGCGGGCCGTGAGTCCACAGCTGGTGCGGCGGCCGGCGGCCCTGCTGCGTGAACCCGGTCAACTGTCGGCCGTGCACCGCGGCCGCCGACGCACATAACCGCGATAGGTTGTCGTCCGTGAGCGTCGCATGCTGCGCGCTACTGCGGCTGCGCGACGACGCTGGCGCCATGCGGCGGGGCGGGCAGGGCGTGCGCGCGCTCAGGTCGTACTGCTTCTCCAGTTCGACCATGTATCCGCCGTTGACGAGCATGTCCGTGAGATCGAGGTGCGTGCTCGCGCCGCTGCTCATCCCAGAGTCAATCGACTTCTTGCGAGCGTTCGGTATCGGCGGCGGCATGCGCGCGAACGGCGCTGGCATCGGCGGAGGCGGCCAGTCGCTCTGGATCGAGAGGTTGTGCGAGGACGAACTGCACTCGCTAAGCGCGTTTGCTCGGTAGGCGGGCGACGCGCCATTGACGCTCGAGATCGGAGGTAAGACGACGCTGCCATTGAAGGTGCCATTTTGTGCACCGTCGACGAGCTGCGGCGTGGCGTCTCTCCTGCCGGGTCTGAAATCATGCAAGCCAATCAGGTAATAGTTCTGAAATCGATTGGAGTAATCAGAAAAAAACCTAGAAAAATGTATGAAGTAACATCATCAATAGATATAAAACTTCATTATATACATATATACACGTATGTATTCCATATTTATACGAACATGTTTATCCCGCATTCGTGATAATATCTAGACTGACTAACTTTCATTCGCAAGTTTCCTGGCGGTCTAGGGTAGAGCCAACTAAAAATAATAAGACACTAAAGAATAAGACCTACTCACATTAATATTCCAATCACTCTGCCAATATAATTGGGTTTAGCTATACATTGCTGCGACAAGTAGCCTCTCCGTTTAAAACAGGTAATTACCTAATGCTCCTTGGTGAGATATCCGTGGGTAAGGCATAGGACTAAGGTAGGTAACACTGTATGCATTGTTGAGCGAGCAGCCGATTATAATTCAACATTCCTTCCAAGAAAACATGCAGTCGTGCGATGCTGCGCAGAAGCTTACTAATTAATTATAGCTTAGCAAGTTAATTATGCTAAGAGCTTAATTATCGTTCATTATTGCGAAGGTTAGATACCTTTGTCGTTGGTCACCAGGGACGAAAGCAGCTGGCGGTTGTTGCTGCTGTTGTAGCAATAATTGCTGTTGCTGTTGCTGTTGCTGTAACTGTAACTGTTGCTGTTGTTGCTGCTGCCCCTGCTGAACTTTATTACTGTAACAATTAGGTGAGATAAGTGTGGATAAATGAGTGAGTACATATATATATATATATATATATAGGGTGGTGTCCGTGCGTGCGTGTGCGTGTGTGTGTGCGCGCGTGCATGCGTATTTGTGAGAGAGAGAGAGAGAGAGAGAGAGAGAGAGAGAGAGAGAGAGAGGAGAGAGAGGAGAGAGAGGAAGGAGAGGAAGAGAGAGAGGAGAGAGAGGAGGGAGAGGAGAGAGAGGAGAGGAAGAGAGGAGAGAGAGGAGATGGAGAGGAGAGGAGAGAGGAGAGAGAGAGAGAGAGGAGAGGAGATGAGAGGAAGGAGAGGAGAGGAGAGGGAGGAGAGGAGAGGAGAGGCAGGGAGGAGAGGAGAGGAGAGGAGAGGAGAGAGAGAGAGGAAGAGAGAGAGAGAGAGAGAGAGAGAGAGACTGAGACTGAGACTGTGTGAGTGAGTGAGTGAGTGAGTGAGTGAGTGAGTGAGTGAGTGAGTGTGTGTGTGTGTGTGTGTGTGAGTGCGTGCGCACGTGTGTGTGTGCGCGCGTGTATCATAAAGCGTATACAGTATTCACGTGGCTGCATTAAAACGCAGAGGTGTGTGCATGCGGCCACATGATTCAATCGCTTAAGTTCATCAGCGCGTTGCGCGTTAAATATTTTAGCAGCTTTGCCCTCGTCATGAATTATACAGATGTTGCCTTGCCTAAAAATGAAAAGTTCTGATCATGAATGGTTGCGAAAAGAAGAAGCAAGGTAAGTTGTCGTTATGGGGCGTTATTCAACTTTCAAGCCGTGAAATAAAACATTTAGTAAATGTCCGCATCACCGGACATACGTGTCAGCGTTTGATCTCGCGGCCATTTAAGATTTGCCAATAAAATATAGATTTACTCGCAGAAGGAGTGCATGCAGCAGCTCACCCCATATTTCGCAGTTTCTCCCGGTAGGGATCTGGCGTTATCTTAAAGTTGGCTGTCACTGGATGCAGCCGTTTGCGGTATTCGTCCACGTATGATCGAGTGTCTTCACAATGCTGAAACTTTTGAGTAGTAAGCGCTTTCGCTGCATTGGCAATTTTGCGCGCCTTCTCTCCGCCACCGACTCCGCTGCTAGAACCTCCACCACCGCCTGCTACCCCTCCCCATGGTCCTCCTCCCCAACCGCTCTTCAGCGGTCGACCCTTTGTTTTGCTCCTCGGGTCCGAGGAATGAGCCGTCTTTCGCACATCGCCCCACTTGGTGAGTGCGTCTATTTTGCTGTCGCTCGTCATGCCGCCCTTGAGCGAGCAGAGGCACTTGGTCGGCGGCTTGCGTTCGCGCGAAAACGCGATCAGTATCCGCATGTAGCGATGCCATTCGTTGTCCGGTGCGCGGGCCACCTCCTGCCGCACGCGTGTCCACTTCCCGCGCTCCTTGTCCTTCTTGTAGTCCCTCGGGTTGACGATGACCTTGGGGATCGGCGGTGGGCCGGCCTTCGGGTCTGCCATGGTGCTACCAGGGAAAGCTACCACGGGTAGGTTATACCGTGTGTTCAGTGCACACGTCGGAGACGCGCTCTCTTCACACGAGAATACGCGATAGGACGGAGATTCGGGGCGGCTGGCCGACTGTCGCAACACATGTCTATTGACGGCCGACGTCCGTCAGCCCGGCTCAGGTCGAGTCGGCGGGCGCTGCACCAGCTCGAGCGGAATAGACGTTGGAAGCGAGTAAAATATGGTCGTACACGGTAGATGTTGCCCTGCATCGCTTCGAAAACAAAAGCCCTGACGACACGGCAACAGGAATCTTCTTGATTAGCTGATTGCACGACAGTAGACTAGTTAACAACATTGCACACATGCGCAGACCTCCCGCCTGGCACATCCACGCGCTTGTGTTGCCTCCCAGCAAACGGTAGCTACAAACACTGGATCCGTATCCTTTCTCGTGTTGTGCTGACCACTGCCAGGAAGAAACAGCAGGTACATGGTGCGGACACGCGCTAGAACTCACTCTCTCTCTCTCTCTCTCTCTCTCTCTCTCTCTCTCTCTCTCTCTCTCTCTCTC